AGTAGCGGAAGTGAAATTGGTTCAATATAGCTCTCTTTCTCTTTCACAAACCATCTTCCTTCAAAGCTTTACGACCATTCAACTTGTTGCAGCAATTCTCATGCGATATAGTAAATTAGTAGAAATGCTGTGTGCTGTATGGTGCTTTTTTACTAGACAACCAATCAAAAATCATTACCTCATTGTCCAAATTCTCGTTATAGGAACTCTAGATTTTGTAATCGTTGTGTTCCCTAAATGCAACCATGAGTTTCTCGTCTAGATACTTTAGTAAACATTGCGCAAAATTTGTTTATTTTATGTGACATGACTTGAATTTATAAAAACAATATATCTTGATGCGTTGAGAGTAAGATATGACATGAATTTAATTTACGTAATTTATATATAATGCAATATTGTTATAGTATTATTTGTGTTTAACTGTAGAATGTACAGAAGTGCTATTATATATTGATGTAAAAAATCCAACATTTTTATTTTATAATTAAAGAACGTCAAGAAAACGCAAATGGATAAAATGGGTATAATTTTTTAAATACAGTATTTTGCTTTTATGGAATAACATTTTAGAATAATGATTAAATGATCTTGTAGATAAAGTGTGTTCTCCTGAAGAAATTGAGAAAAAGCGTTTATTAGCGTTGCAAAAGAGACAATTTAAGCAAGCTCAATTAAAGAATTTAAATATACCTACAAATAGTTCAGCCAGTCAGTCACCTCGTCAAATACCTCAAGAATCAAAATATAAGGATAGTACAAATGTTATGAGACAAAACAAGTCAAATAATCGTTTCAATCCTATAGAACCAAAGAAATTTTTTAATCTAACATCAATTGTAACAGGAAAATGTCGCATGATCAGCAATGATAGATTTGCATTAGAAACGTCAGCATTTGTACCTGAAATTATTGCAACATTTAAAACAGTTCCAAGCAGAGCATATGGTAATTATGAATTGATTGATTTAATAGTATTGCACACAAATATATGAAATTTTTATCCATGTTTATTTTTTCAGATGTAAACTCTAAAGTATGGAATTTTCATCTCAATGATTATGACAATCTGATACAAAAATTGGTACGTCATGATCCTATGATATCTGTGGCAAAAATACCAGAGGATATTTTGCAGGTAATTAGACATGTATTAACACAAAATATATGTGAACATGAGAACTTCAAAATATTTTTATTCTAGACATTCAAGAAAAGCTTGAATTCAGATAATCAAGTATCAAACCTGGATTTATCTAAAATTGATGATAAGTTAAGGGAAGTCTTGATGCCTTTTCAAGAAGATGGCGTTCGGTAAATGTTTTTTTATAATTGTATATATATTTTTTGTGTTTTCTTTTTAATATGTAATAAACTTATTTTAGCTACGGTATATCAAAAAATGGTCATTGCATGATTGCTGATGATATGGGTTTAGGAAAAACTTTACAAGCATTAGGCATAGCACATTATTTTAGAGAAAGTTGGCCACTTTTAATTGTAACTCCTTCATCAGTTAAGTAAGTATCATGTAACAAAAATAATAAAAGTATTAGTACTAAAGGTATTTTATTTCTAGATGTCATTGGTCTGAAGCAATTTATAAATTCTTACCATCTATACCTGTACATTATGTTCATCATTTTGCAAATGCAAGGGATCATATTAAAGATGATAAAATCACTATAATAACGTATGATTTATTAGTACGAGCTATAAATATTTTAGAGAGATATATTTATGGATGTGTTATTCTGGTATATTTGTATTATTTCTTGTAATATAAGTTAGTAACAAATGCTGTGTTGCTACTATTTCACTTTCATGTGAATTGCAGGATGAATCTCATGTTTTGAAGAGTATTACAACTGCAAGATTTAAGGCTGTTAAGAAAATATGTGCTCGTGCACGTCATATTATTTTGCTCACTGGAACCCCAGCTCTTTCAAGACCAATCGAGTTGTACTCTCAAATTAGCCTTATTTTAAACAAGTTTATGAGGTAAATGAAATAGTGGTGGCATATTTTACATGCTTTACATAAATATTATACATGTATAAATTGTTGAGAGAAATATTATTTTGCAGTTATGAAAATTATGGTATACGATATTGTGCAGGAAAAAAAAATTTATTTGGCTGGGATTTTACAGGCTCCTCAAATTTGGAAGAATTACAATTGTTTCTGAAAACCACATGCATGATTCGAAGACTGAAAGCTGATGTCTTAAGTCAATTGTCATCTAAGACAAGGTCTTAAAAGCGAACATTTTTATAGCAGAAATAATTTTTCGAAAATTGTATATATGTATATATGTATGTTTTATACATCTGTATGTTTCAGACAAGTGATTATGTTAGATCCAGATTTGATCAAAGCTAGTACCAAGCAAATGGAAAATATATCGAAACAGTTACAGAAGAAGACTGGTTTTGAGAAGCATACTGCTCTACTAGAGTATTATAATCAGTCTAGTTTCGCAAGATTGAAGGCAGTATGGTACATATATATATATATATATACAGAGTGCTTAAAAAAATGTTAACATTTATATATATGTAATCTCTCTCTCACTCTCTTTCTTTTTCTCTCATAATATATATTTTGAGAGAAAAAGATTACACTTATATTTTTCTCAAAAATATGCTAATGACTATTTTGCTTCATTCTATTATTTGACATTGCAGCAATTATGTGACAAAGTTATTTGAGAAGAAAAAAAAGTGCCTTTTGTTCGCTCATCATCAAAATGTTTTGGATGCCATGTGCAACGTTGCTGAATCTATGAAAATACGGTAAATTCTTAAATAATTTGACATTTATTGAAATTTGTAATTTAAATTTTTGATAAAAAATTTTTATCTTTTATTATATAATTATTATAAAATTGTAACAATTTCCAGGTATATAAGGATTGATGGTAAAACTAATCCTGAGCGGAGAAAGGTGTTGGTCGACACATTTCAGGAACGCGACGATTATTTGGCAGCAGTGTTGTCAATTACCGCTGCAAATGCAGGCATTACGTTGACGGCCGCACATCTTGTAGTTTTTGCCGAATTATTTTGGAATCCTGGTGTAATTAATATTCAATCATATAATATTACTAGCGCTTCGTTATATTCAAATTTTTACTTTCTGTAACAATTCTTTTTTCTTTAATTTTCACAGATTTTATGTCAGGCGGAAGACAGGGTACATAGAATTGGACAGAACAACGAAGTTTTAATTCAGTATTTGGTGGCGAAAGATACCGCAGATGATTATATATGGCCATTGATCCAAAGAAAGATGAATATTTTGAATGCAGTCGGTCTTGACCAAGATTTCTCGATAGACAATGTCGACGTCAATGAACAGAAAGAGATCGGACAACTAGATTTAACTTCTTTTATAAATATTTCCCCGTTCTCCGAAGAGCAGTTACAATCGCAGCATGACAAGGAACAAAATGATTTCTTACATCTAATAGACAATAAGGAGCAGAAAGATTCTTCCCCAAAAGCATCCACTTCAAATAACTTTAAAGAATTACTCGAAGACGACGAAGAATATTTTAGCTCTTGCAATTGGGATGACATGATATGATAGTGTGATTATTTTTTTTTAATGATAAATTGTTCCTATTTTGTATGAAAACAACTATTTTTCTAAAAAGGATATAAATCGTTGTATATTCCAGCTCTCCTGTCTTATTCTTGTTATCATCCTTGGATAAAAATTTATTGAGATATTAAAAAACTTTACTTTCTTAGTATAATAAACTAGAGGTGAGCGATTATTTAAAAAAGATTCTGAAAATCTGAATCTGTTTTATCGAAGAAGTACTTCTAGCAATTGATAACAAATCCATAGTAATGTTCTACAGATGGCAGCTTTTACGCGAAGAAAATTTTTTTTTTTACTCTTGAGTCATTCCGCGATCATCGGCTTAGTCGCACGCGTGTATTTTGGTTAATATTGTTATTAGCAAAATAAATGACAATGTCTCTTTTTAATATGCAGCAATTCTTCGGCATATTATATCAACGTTACATGATCACGTTACCGGCAATACATTTATCTCGTACGCAAAAGGTAAGAGCGAATTGTTGGTCCTTTGAGGTTAAAATAAATACTTGCGCTATTTGCACCGGATCATTACATAATAATATAAAAAAAATTACATGACAATGTGAGAAACGTAGAAAAATTTTATATTTATAGTTTGGACTGATTTCACACAAGTATACAAGTCTATTAATTGTATGTTTTTTCTTAGATTTTTATTATCTGCTGTGCTGGTGGCTCAATATTATTGGGAGGATTAGCGCAATTTTTGAAGAGACGACGAAGACATCCTCTTCCACCATCCAGAAAGTCTTACAGAGACTACAAAACAAGATTAGCAAGTGCTAAGAACTCCAATTTTGGTAATACTATCATGTTATGTAAATTAGGCTAATTATAAAGTTAAAGAGGATATAACCTGGATATTTAGAAGCTATTATAGTGGATTATATGTAGAGGAAAGTAATATGTCCTACTAAATGTCTAGATGTATTATCACAAGCATCCTGGGCAAGAAGAAGCGAAGCTAGTACCAGGAGTCACATTAGTGATCGTGCATCACTGATTTCTTCTGTGCCAGGAGGTCCAGAAGATGATGTCAGACTTACTCCACAACAATATGGTGTCCTTGGTAAGTTTTTGATTAATTTATTAGCAAATGTAGTTTAGATATATTTTGTTAGAAAAAAATCAACACATATAATCAGAACTTGCGTCATTCTTGTATTAAAAAGCATTGAATCTTGTATTGGCAATGTTTTGGTTTTGTATCTGCAATTATTTTTTTGAGTTATTTTTCAATAAAAATTTAGAAATGATTCTTTTTGCAATGTAAAGATTTTAGCAAGTTTAAACAAGTTTTTCAAAAATACAATAAGCACTGTACTTATTATTTTTACTTTGTTTTATGAAGATCAATGAAAAATTTTTATAAGTGAAGATAATCTCTTATATTTTTGATTATTGAGTAATTCGTTTACTTGCGAATTAGAGAGCGACTGATAGCGTCGCTGCCGATAGATGGGAATTTTTGTATGTACATAGCATTTATATTTACATGATAATGTACAATACAGTAGCATATTCACAAATAATACATTTGTGTCGAGTACAGATATTTTTAGAACAGTTCTTGGCTTTGCCAAAGTCGATAGCTAGTTGCTTTAGGATATTTATGTTTGTTTATATCGGCATACGGGGGATGAATTGTTAAGAAGCAATCGTCGAGAACGGGATGTAAAATATTTGGGTCGTAGTTTTCTTCTCTTTTAGATTTATGCTAACTCGCACGCTACTTCTTATCGTCTCGTTCATTTCGTCGGTTTACTCGGAGTATCAAAGAAACATCGTCAGCTCATAGATGCCATAAATTTTATTTGCGTTTGGTTTTCCAACATCGCCTTTTTCTCGCTTCCTTCGAACACGCAAGTCTTTCCATCTGACAACGAATTATTGCTTTCTCTTGTAATTAACAAATCGTTCAACAAAACGTCTTTTTTTTTTGTTCTTTTTCTTTCGCTTCGTGTTTACATAAGATTTCATTGAATATCACAACAGGCGTGATTAGGCTTACGTCGAAACGTCGTTAGAGACGCAGAGACATGTCCGCATTAGTTCGAAATAAGTGTTTCGCGCTAATCCTATACGATTCCATCGTCAGTTAATAGTAAAATATAAGAATTGTACTTGTAACGCTACTATCAATAGAGAAAATATCTATAAATCATGTTATATAAATAAGCTTACTACACAATTACGACTATATCAAAGATCATAGAAATACATATTATATACATATGGATATTTCTTCGGTAAAAATGCTGGCAACGCAACCTCGTGTGAAAAATAACCGCCATATCACTTAGAGTGCAGTCCCGTGAGCTGCGGAATTGCGGAAATGCGGATCGGTGAAATAACATCACGGCCATTCCGTAGTTGTCGTTCCGCAAGTTAATGCGGAATTGACAAAATAGCATGGGCGCGTTCAGACACGACAATTCTACTTCCCAAATGGCTCGAGTGCACAGAACCTGACACAAACTGTCGTCACTTATAGTTCTTTACTCCTTGTTTTTTACGCGCGCTTTTCGTTCCGCAGACATTTGTTTTCTTATGTTACATGGAGCAAAACTTGCGGAAATGAAGAAAAAAAAATCATATTTAATACCTAAAGACGGAACAGTTCAAGAATGGATTACATCTATAGATGTGGTTAAAATTCGAATTGGGAAATTAAAAGGCAAAATACATCGAGTAATCAACATCTAATAATCGAAATTCATTAAGATTTAAAGAATCAGAGGGAGATTGGTCAAACTCTGTTCGTGACGTTCATTCCGCCGATCCGCATTTCCGCAGTTCCACAGCTCATGGGACTGCATCCTTAGTCTTTCTCGAGTAAACTAAAAATTCCACCACGAAACGTCGAACTCAATAATCCCGTACTTCGCACGCGTACCAAAATATTCTATCCTCTTATTTTTAACGAATTATTAAGATATATATATTATATATACCAATGTGGTTCTCTTCGTTCTTCCGCCGTTACAATCTTCAACAGTACTCTAGGAAATCTGCAAGTCCTATCACTTTACACTGGCAAGAGGTGGGTACACATTCTTAATATCGTTTATCGAACTGTTCAAAACAAAAAAAATATATATATATATTGTATTATCAAACATTTGGCAAATTTTCATATGCGTTTGACGCGATTTTCGTGTGTGCCATCACTTAATATTACCGCAATGCGTTATTGTGCATATTAATTGAACGGCTTACACGTGCTAAGGTATCGCTTTGGAACTTAAAAAATAAATTAGTACCGCGAAAAAACGTGTACCCATCCACCCTTTACACTTTATATGTTTCTCTTACTTGCTATCCTTATAAATTTTACAATTCTTCTAAAATTATACGGCATTCTCAAAAATATATCGTAGCTGAATTAACTCACATATCTCGTTCTCTTTCTCCGTCTCTTAAACTTCTATTCACCTCCTGGCCCGACGTATATGCTAACTTACTTATCCGAGACATTATTCACGGCAACTATAGCTCTCTTTCTTTTTCTTTTTTCGTTAATCTCTCTTTGGACTAAAGTATGTGCCGTCATTTTTTTTTTTTGAAGCGATTAGTGTTCTAAAGGATCTAGAATTATACTTTGCGAAGGCATAAGACATACATTAACAGCTAGAAAGTCGATTCACAGCAGGATTAGAAAAAGACGGAATGTCACAGTTTACGCGGTCAGTTGTTCAACGATATAATGGGTGATAACGTTTACATCTCGCGGCCAAGATTTAATCCACCCACACATCGGTCGCTGCGATATCCCTCTCTCTTGTACTTAACTTGTCGTGAGACTAGCTCTCATTGTTCAATCGCGAAGATACTCATTCTCTCACCTTCTCTCTCTCTGCTACCCTAAGACGTGTGTATATATAATAGATATTTTTATATCATATATATATATATATATTAAATATCAAGTTTCTCTTTAAAGGCAAGCATATATCACCGCGGCGCCGATGGCGGTCCAGCGGTGCATTTAAACAAGGAGGTCATTCGCGCCATAATCGCTACGTACGAAATTACAGCAATTTTCTTTCGCGTATATTTTTTTGTTCCATTTTTTTTCTCTATTTTTTAAACTTTTTTTTCTGTCTTCGGTACTGTGTTTGTCTACTGGGTTATATCATTATATTACTATTGCGGGAATTAGGAAATAACGATAGAGGTGGCAACGGCGGGCGCGCAATCGGGCCTTCACGTGATTCTATGGAGAATCAACAGCAGCAACGGGAGCGTCAGTAAGCTCGACTTGAACGTGGCGCACGCGGTGCCGCCGTACGTGACCTCCACTTTGTTCTTCAGCGACAACGGGCCGCCGTCGTCGCTCTGCATGCCCGTCGATATGTCCGGCTTCTTCGGTATAATCATGTTCTCGTCGCGATTTACGTCCGGCTCCGTCGTCCCGTGCTGATGCGTCGTCTCCTGCGGCTGTTTCGTCGTCGCGATCGTCGTCGTGGTCGTCGGCTCGGTCGTGGTGGGCGGCGGCACGGTGGTCGGCACCAGGCTGTAATTGTTCAGGAAGTAGATCGGTCCGAATTCCGGCTTGATGTCGAACAGAGTCTCCTCCTGCCGATAGCCGTTGATCGGGCGCGACGTCGTCGCGCCGTCCTCGTAGTGCGAGATGAGCGTCGCGGTGTACGGAACCTCCATGTTCGTGTAATTGGCTCTCAACGTCACGTTCACGCCCGTGCCGGGCTCCAGGAAGATTAATATGCTGCAACACACACGGGAGAAGTAGAGGCGTGCGCGAATTTAACGGCCCACAAGCTCTCGGCGCGATCTAAATCGACCCTAATATAAATCATACATGTCTCTCTCTCTTAACGCGATGATAAATAGCAAAAGTAATACACTATTCTGTTTGAATATTCAATTAAAGCTTCGGCTCGTCACTCATGTTAAATTATTGTTTCTTTTCTCGACCGCAGACAAATTTCTCGGATCAATCAATTCTCGTGAAGCATCGATTAATAATCGAGACGGAATTTAGACGCGTAATTATTCGTTTAAATGTAAATCAAGAATTCAACACACACGATTGTATACCATCTTGGTTTTGCCGAGAAAAATTCAATTGAAGTTTCCGTTCACGTTCGTTGTTTGTAGCTCGCAATTTATATTCTTTTCTCAAGTCTGCAGAGTGCATATTTATGGATCTATTTGAGGGAAGAAAATTGTAGACCAATAAAACGCGGCCAAGGATTCATTCGACACAAGTGCTTTAGTTTATCGCGTAGCAATGTCGGGTATTGCAACTAGAGCGCGAATCCTATGCACCGGGCATCGTAATTGCGTTGCGTTGAAGTATCACTTAAGCCGCGCGGAGTACGTTCTGGGACGAGCGGGAAGGGTGACACAAAGTCGCCGTGCAAAGTGCACTCCAGGCTCATCTCCGCCGCGCGCGAATCTCAATGATGTACAGGAAGCGATGAAGTGTGGTCCCGTGGTGCGCGGGAGGGAGGAAGGAAAAGACTCACCGACTGCGGTGAGAGAGAGAGAGAGAGAGAGACATGATTACATTGCGGTATAAACCAGCGCTCTAATTATGTTTAATTATACAGATGCACAGATTACGGGCGCCGCCGTGAACGTTAAGTTCTCCTTCGAGAGCTATGACTGACTGAATGCATCATACATCGCGATAAATCACGGTGATTAATTCTCTTTCGATCTCTGCTAAACGCGAAAGTGTACAACTCTCTCGTTTCGCTTCATCGCCGCACAATGAGGATGGAAATCAAGAGTTTACTTAAATCAATATGATTCTGTGGCTCTTGAGCGGGAACAATGTAGTTAAATGTCAACTTGCCGTTTAAACGCGTCTGTCTGCAAATTTCTTTCATGCTTTCGCAAAAGGCGGAATATTTTATCTCCGTGGAAAAAGAGGATTTCAATATGCGAAGTTGAACTTTAGATGGATATTCAACTCACTTGTAAGCCTCCGTGCGATTCTCCTCGTGGCGCGTGCCCCACGTTATGTTCGGCAAGGACGTGCCGTTGAACAGCGTGATCGTGGTGTCCAGGCCGTTGAGCATGGCGTGTCTGCGACCCCAGTAGATCGTGTACTTGTACGAGTACGTGCTGGCCTCCGCCATCTTCGCCGCTTGCGTCCCGCGATTGACGATCGTCACCTCGTTGAGTACGCGAGATACGCGTGGCTTAATATCGTGCTTCTTATACCAGTTGAGCTTGACGACGCTCAACTCGTAGCGGATCGGCTCGGTCTCCACCAGCAGCTCCCCGCACGTCGCGGTCTCTTCCTTGCCGTTCTGAGAAGAGAGAATCGAGTTACTCGAACGCTTAATGCTCGCCGACGCAGTCGATTGCCACGGCAAATGAACCCCGCTGTCGTTAAAACGATACGGCTTACTAGCTGTTTACCGACCGGCATCTCCCTCCCGTTTAATAATCTCTCGAGAGAGAGAGAGAATTCTTATTGATGAATTTAATTTGATATTCTTTCCGATCAAAGACGCTACTCGTCGTTGAAGCGCGCTTGAAACGAAATTTCGTTATTTATTCGCGCTTCTGAAGCTCAACTCCCGCAATATCGAGTGTTTGCTGAGCGAAGATCAAACGCAAAAAAAAAATACGACGCGTATTTTCCGATTCCTCTCCCGCTTCCTCGCTCACCTCGTTCGCGTAGACGATGTTGCCGAAGTTTTCGGTCGAGCTGAGCGTGCCGATGTAGTGCGTGTAGCGCGACTTTTCTTCCGTGGGGATTTCGTATCGGGCGATCAGCAGCTTGTTCGCGTACACCGCACCCACGGGCGGCTGCGTGTACTTGTTCCAGGAGACCCACGTGATTCGCGCCGCGCCGTCCGCGTTCTCCAGCAACTCGTACTTTTCGTACGACTGCACCGCGCCGTGCATCGTCACCGTGCAACGTTTCTCCTTGTGCCTCTGCATACCGGCGACCCATACGCTGTTGCTGTGCATCGCGCGGCACACGTAGATCGGCGGCTGGCTCTTCGTCTCCAGCTTGTCCGCTTGATTCGCATTGTTATCATCTGCAACGAAAACAGAAGAGTCCGGGCTCTTTGAATCTAGCATTTCTCGTGTATCTCTGAATTTCTTCGATTACTAATTGCAAACGCGCGATTACTAATTAATCGTTCATTGGTTCAGGCGTCACGAGGTTTCGATATTAATGGCAGTGTAATGTTGCGCAAGTTCGGCGAGACACACGCGAGCAATGACAGTTTAAGGGAACGTCATTCGTCGGCACCTTCAGCGTTTGATATTTTCTCGAAGCCGCCGACGACTATCTGCTTCTCGTTCGGGATGTGATGCGCCGGCAGCCACCTCAGCGTGGTCGAGGTGAGCTGCTGCTGGTGGCCGTACTTCGACAGTATGTACACGCTGTTGTCCGCGGTGGTCGCCGACAGCAGCAGGAGGACGCAGCCGAGCAGTCCCAAGGCGAGGTAGTTCTTCTGCCGGAGCATCTGCAATTGAGATTTCACGCGAGTGAGACGAGTGCCTAACTCCCTCCCGATCGCTCTTGCAGCGAGTAACGCACGAAATAATAATCGACTGACAATTATTCGACATTATGAAAACATTTTGGAAGATAAAGTGTCGATTCCTAATCGAGCGATTCAACCATTCTCTCTTTTTCCGGTTTCCCTCGTTTTTCCGCCGACAGCGCGACCGAGCTACGCGAAAAACGTGCGCGCGATTTTCCGGTGATTACGCACAACTAGGGGCACGCACCTCCCCCTATCTATAATTGCATTACGTCGGCAACGAACAAAAAAAAAAATTAGAGACGAAGCGCGCATAGCTTCGCGCTACCTGCCTACATAACGCTCGGCTCCGACACGCAGCGCAACGCGGCGAGAGAGAAGCGACGACCGCCGCCCCTCCGGCGGGGCTTTGTGTGTGTGATTACGTTTCCGCTTACTATACTGAGCGTGTCTTTAACACGGGGCCCCGAGTATAACTGGACCTCGACTCGGTTTTGCTCTTGCCTCGGTGTTTTCGCTTCGGTTGGTCCGACGTGGAGGAAACCCGCGAGTTTTAATGCGCGTGAGAAGAGCCTGACTAATCCCCGAACACGCTCCTTCCGAGATCGATAACGTACGTCTTGCAAAACCGCTATGCACATTCTACATGCGATAATAAAAAAAAAAACAACAAAAAAACAAATAAACGTTGGAATTATCTCTGTCATTTGAAATTAAATTCCTTCGAATGAAGTTGATAATTTGCGAATAATGAAACGGTCTGAAAGCGAGAGTTCCGCAAATTACAGTCCATTCAATTTGGCATTCCATCGTGAATGAAACGTGGCGAACGGAAGTGGACGGCGGTGAACGCCGTCGATACTGGTTTGTAAAGACACGTGTTGCGTAATTGGCCGCTCAACACGCGTAATCGATATAACGACCGCGAGTGAAGTTCGCGTACCCCGAGAATGGTAATTCGAAGCAATTTCATCACGCACTTTTACGGCGGCGACGCGACTGCGAGAGCACGAACCGACTCGCGGCCGCACACGGCCGGCATATCGGCTTCAAGTAACCGTAACGGTTCCGTGGCGTATCCGTTTACGTGATAACGCACACCGCTCATTTCGCACTTCCTCTGTGTTTGTTACTAAAAAAAAAACCCACCGGGAAAAATCTATTTTCCCTCCAAAAGGAGGGAGATCCTTCATCCTTTCGGTGCAACGAACGATCAAGTCATTTAAATATTTGCCAACAGAATTGCGCAAAGCCTACTTGGCTCGCGATGTAATTTGAAATGGAAATCATCTAATTTTGTGTTGCGTAATGCAGAAAATATTTGAAGAATTAAGATACATTTTTTGATCTCGCATTACAGATCGTTTAAGTCAGCGTAAAAAAGATCGGAGACTTGAGAATGAAAGGAAGAACTCTGATGACGCAAAAGCTCACTCGAGACAAAAGAGTGTCTTCGTTTTCTCTTGTCAAACGATCCTTCGCGCGGTCACTTTAGGAAATAATAAACCGGTTCTTTCGCATTGGGTTCTAAATGCGGAACGACTGACATCTCGTCAGTCCGCTTGTTGTGTCTGACTTTCGATCAATTAATAGCGCGATACAGAATCGTCGGTAGATCGTAAAAAGAGAATATCGGATTTCCCTTTCTTTTTTCATCGGAAGTATTTCGTAATTGGGAACACATGCGTGACCAGCCGCAATGTCCGCGATACCGTAGTAATGCGCATGATATCGTAATGGATAGTGGATTAATGACATTTTATCGGGTCGGACTGCAATAACAATGTAGAGGGTAGGGTTGGTAATTGAAACAATACTGCGACATTAATAACTGTGTCAAATGGCGGTGGAATGATAAAAAAAAACATTAAAACCCGAACAAGGGCGTGACACGTGTCGATATCTTAAAACGAACAATTTCGTTTTTCAGAACTGTCTTCGATTAAATTTGCTTCTAGTTAATTGAATGATTTTTTTATCACGATTTATTTCTTTAATACAAGCCCTTTTTGCTCGAATTTGCGCTCTCGGAGAAAGAAATCAATATATTGCGACGCTTTCACAATAATTTGGTTTGGTCCAATAAATTTTGCGTTTAAACGCGACGATTTATCTGAATTTTGTCAATGTTCTCTCGCGAATTGCGCGGCTGGTTTCGCGCACTGGTCAATCAAATGTTCGCCACTGACAAAATGTTTCCGCTCGCGTAGTCACGCTGTTCCGCGGAAGCTTGTCATTGTGTCGGCGGGGCACGTTATTGTCGCGATGGCATCGCTCCAATTGTTGGAAAGATTTGATGCGACTGATAACCTTTTCAAACCAGTCCGCACACAATTGTTAATGGGTCCGGTTTTTTTTTCAGACTCACACGTTTTTTTTTTTTCTTAAGCAAAGCCGCGCAAATCGTCGCAATTTCATCGCAAGCCGAGCTTCTTGACACGATTGTACACGCGCGTAGTCGCGATGTTGTAAACTTTTCATCGTATACGCGAGAAAATGGTTTGTCCGAAAGATTTCGATAAATGAGGAACCCGCGCAAATCGGCCGTGATCTAAAAAACAAAATTGTAGACTACGCAAGGGATTTGCGTTTGAATCTAATCGCGGATCTAAAAGAAACGCATTACCAATTCCGAGGACATCGGTGGAGCGTGTTACAAAGCGTCGACGGGCATGATTCGATTTAAAAGGCCGGCAAATGCCAAACGGCGCTCCGGGCGGACTGTATAATTACCGCGAAATGGATTTGCATAAATAACAACGTTCTCGAAACAAAATAACATTATCGAGCGCATTGAATTTCACTGGTCAACCGTCACTCCCGTTCGGCCGTGCTTGTAGCGTCTGAAAATTTTTAAACAAATATCGAGATTCACCGCGCCAAATGCGAGAATAATTTTCCCTTTCTGCGATCGCAATTCTCGTGTCAATTCGGAATAATGTCGCGCCGCCGGTTTTCCGCGCTAATCCGGCAGCTGTAATCTCGTTTCACCGGTACACGCAACGTACAAGGAGTCCCGTTAGCCGCAAATTCCATTCGGCGTTAATTGCGTCCGTCTTCCCTTCCTCTTTTTTTTTCCCCCCTCATTTATCGCGATCTGTTGACTCGATTCTCGCAGTATACAAGTTTACCTTCGACGTCGGCATCTCGTCGGACGAGTGTGCAAGTTACGACGACTCCACACTGACTTCGTAACACCGCCGCGACAACGAGATCGTACGTGCGAATTTATTATCATTTAACTTAAGCAGAGGCTCTGACGCGATCGAGGCGCGAGCGGTGCGAAGCGCGTCGTTCGCAATAAGATGTGAGTTACAACGACGTGACATTGACTTTATAACTCGCATGGAACTCAGCTTGGCTCGCGCGCATACGGATTTATCACCCATTTAACTCGCGCGGCTACAAAGGCATTTCCACTCTGTAGGCAGCAGCTTGTCAGTAAATTAACCGGTACCGACTTCTAAACCGGTTTAAAGACGGCGCCACGAAATTGTACCTCGCGAATTTCGCGGCTCTCTCTCTCTCTCTCTTTTTCGCGCGCGCGGACAAATCTCGCAAAGTCGCTGAAATTGAATCAACAATGATGGGAGAGCAAACGCGCGCAGCTTTAGCATACTAATCCGTGTTCGCTGCTAAAAGCTGCGGTTTCGCTCGCATCAGCATACGTAATGCGATTCCACGAGAATATAGATATATTCGCGAATGTATGTGTAATTTTATATTTATCATTTTCAAGCATCCCGAGGGGTGGAGTTGCAACTGGGTCGAAACATGATAATGATCTCGCAATAGGATATTACAGTTGAAAAATGTTTCGGTAAGAGTAATATTAATAAACTTCGCAGCGAAAAAAAAAGGTTAGATTAATTCGAACATCTCGAGTTCGCGTAAATCAATCTCTCTTTGCGCTCAAATTAAGAGGAATTTTTTTCCTGCATCGCGTGCAGAATTTCGGAATCATCCTCGGCGAGACTTGCGCAACTGCAATCCGCGCGAATCGCTTTACGATGGGTGTGGTCCACGCTTCGCACACGTCGAATTTTCAACCGGTCTATTTTGTCGGACCTCGCCGTATCGGAAGATCGAAGCGACGAAGGTCGAAACTCGCGTGCGTATCCTCGACGATACTTACGCAAGGATCTCGTTCCGATTCGCGAGGCACACGCGAAGATATAAGCAGCGCAGATATATTCACGTACAGATGCTTTTCTTTTTTTGTCGGTAATAAAAAACGCGCGTGGGTGTCGGCTGTAATCCGTGAAGCGTACACTTCACGCTCGCGGCTGTGACCTTGCCGCGCGCGTAAATCATGTAATTCGAGGCCAGAAATCAGAAATGAACATCGATCGGGCCTAGAACATCGTGCATTGTACGAAGTGCCCCGAAACGTGAAATGTCCTTTTAACAAGCAGATTCCTTAGATAACGCGGAATAATTCTTCCCTTCGCAAAAACTGCGGATTTCATCATTTGTCGCAATCTTTCAACTTTTGCGTCTCTTTGCAAATTCAATTTTATTAAATTCTATCTTCGATCTAAAAATTTTTTACATTTTCTAAAAAAATCTGCCATCAAAGGGATATCTTGTGTTATTAGTTACATTAAAAGAAAATAATCGCGTAAACTTTCTGACTTCTTTTTATCTGAGCAAAAAATACGCGTTAAGAGCGTATGGACGATGACGTAACAAAGTCGTAAAGTATCGCGAATTATCAAATTGTCTTTTGCAATAACAGAATTGATGACAGTCAAAAGTCGGGTATTAAAAGCATCCGATGATAGCTCGTGTGCGAATCGAGAGTGGATCGATCTCACGTTTTTCTATGCACCGTTGCATCGTTGATTCTCATTCCGTATATGTTACTACCGTGATTACATAGAAGGGGGAGATCTGATTGCAGTCGTAAAAATTGATATTCAACGCGCGATATCGGCCGGCAGCTCGGCGCGGAATAAAGAGAGAGAGAGAAGCGCGAC